TGGCACCATGGATCAATCATCCATAAAGATTATATCCTCTTGCAATTAGGTATATAAAATTTAAACACTTTTTTCCTTATTGTAGTTATTGTTGCTTATTTACTCACGTCATATATGTTGTATCAGATGGAGTGGTGGGGGTTGAGGCATTCAGGGACACCAACAGGTGACCTAGTTGGGTATAGGTGTCGCAACCCAAAAATTTTCGATCTCACGACTAATGGTTTAGACATCCTTTTGAAAATCTCATTAATTAAAGAATGCCCGGACACCAGACTAATCCTTAATTAATGGTTTTGAAGATAGGTTCATGGAGTCGCCACCAATATTTTACTCAAAATATTGGAAAAAGAAAAGGTTTTTAAAAGTCCAATAATGGCCTTCATAACCAGAATTGGGTTCGGGGGTCGGTTACGTGTAGGGAAGGTATTAAGCACCCCTACAACGCCTTTAATTGGTACCCTATGATGAAATTAACATGATAAAAATTAATAAATTAAATATTGAATCCCCTTTATTAATGTTTATTTACATGCTTAAAATATAAATTAAGCGATTAACCCTAAAATATCTACATTATGATGTTTATTATAACAAAAAAAAAGATAAGGATGAGGAATAAAAGGAAGAGAAGAAAATTGATTGAAATACCTCTTCAACAAGCTTTATTGAATCTTCAAATATGGAGAAGGTGCTTTGTGGCGACCTTTCACACTATAGTATGCCTCACAAATCTCAAGAAATACAATAGGAGGGAGAGAGAAGAAAGAGATACGACATAGATCTCAAGAAATACAATAGAAGGGAGAGAGATATAGAATTTTCGTGCTCAAAGGAGTCTTATTCGAAATTTATCTGGCTGCCATGTGAACAATGTCCGAGGCTTCAATTTATAGGAATCAGAAGGGGCCAGAACGGCCTGTTCCGAATTCAGAACGGCCCGTTCTGGCCCAATCGTTATGTGCAAATTTCGTACCCTGGAACGACCCGTTTTGAAAACGGAACGGCCCGTTCCAGAGTAGAAATTAACACAAAATTTCTCTTTCCAGAACGACCCGTTCCAAATTTGCCTTGTTTGGAACGGCCCGTTCCACCCAAGACTCTTTAGGTGTTTTTAGTTACGTTGGAACGGCCCGTTCTGATATTGGAACGGCCCGTTCCGGGGTTCAGAATGGCCCTTCCGATTTTGGAATAGCCCGTTCCGGGTTACTAAAACCACCTTTTTTTGGTCTTTAGGCCTTCTGATGTCCTATCTTGTTGATTGCCTGCTTCGGAAGCTCCTTCCCTTCATAACGGAGGTCCATTTCCTTGTTTGTGTGCCTCCGGACGAAATTAGGTGTCTACAATAGGTAAAGAATTGATCACATGCAAATTACATAGGTGTGTATATATATATTATCTATCACGTATTAAGATATTAATATTCATTCTTAATTTTACAACTCCTTTGGATGCCTTATAAAGGTTATGAGTGCGTGCTACCAAAAAATGTATTTAAAAATGCAACAATGTGGTTTTAATTTAGTTCATAGTGGTTAAATGGAAACAAGTGGATAAGGTAAAACTTCAATTTGGTTTATGTCAAGATATACCAAAAATGGCTATAAATTTGGATCAACAACCTGAGACATCCATGGGAGGAAATGCTTACAATAACTAGGAAGAAGAACATGCTCACTAGATCCAACAATGGATGGAATGCCAACAAAACATTGTAGTAGGGCAACCTATTAATAGTTACTTATCCCATACAAATGAATATATGGCATGGTGTAGACAAAATATAATTCTTTATTTGTCTGTGCTCTAACAATTACAAGATCCACGAGTTGTAGAAAACATTGATGTTGGCCAAATGTCACAAGTGCCAATAGAAATGTCAACACAACAAGAGTATACACAACAAAGTACAACTCCAAATCACAACCCCATTGTTACTGATGATATACAAAATCATGGTAGGAAAACACCATGTAATTCATTTGTTATAACTCCACCATCACAACAACATCTTGATCACTACCATGACAATTATTAGCACTCTTTTGCATCAATAAAAGAATTTGTTAATAATCTATTTGGTGCAAATGTTGGTTCGTCATGGTCAATTACAACATATTTGCAAAGCATGTATCCCAACAACGTTCCATTTTTAACTAAATGTATCTTATCTTCAGCAAGAAACAAATACTTCTTTTGCTTGTGCTGATGATTACCATGAACCTGTGTCATAAGATCAAAAAATTATTGATGATGAAAATAACCATACACAATAGTTAAGACAAACTTGTCCTTGTCGTAATCCTCTACAAAACAGAAAAGCCCCAATTTATAAAATTAGTGGTCATTTTTAACATTGATGTTTTTTTAATTGTTTTTGATATTGTAGTTTTTTTAATATAATTTATGCATGGATAAATATTTAAAGATAAAAATAAGAATTAATGAATATTAATGACTCCTAAAATAATGTTTAAAGAACTAGTAAAAAAATTGTTATTTTTTATATATTTAATATAATAATATATTTTAATTTTAATTTATATCTTTGTATTTTAAAAATATATATTATATTAAAAATCTAATTTTATAAATTAAAAAATTACATTAAAAGTCAACTTCGGGACCCTCAAACCTGAATTCTCAATAAACACTAAAACAATAACATCTTGATAAACAAATGAGAAAGAAAGATACTTCTATTATTAAATATTGAAAGGGGAAAGTTTATACAAAAAATTCTTTCGATGACACTAGTACTAAAATATAATTTTTGAAAATTACAAAATATGAAAAATTGTTTGTTATACTTTAAAAATAAAACAATAAACTAGTGATAGTTTATAATTAAATAGATTGTCACTGTTTGTGTTGACTTTTGGCTCACAATTTTTTTTAACTACTCTCACGTTTTCTTGAAGTGAATTTTTCTTAATTAGTTCTTTAAAACATACACTAAAATAAGTTAGTGTCGATTTATAATTAGATAAACTATCACTATTTGCGAAACTTTTGGCTCACACATTTTTTCCATAAATACTCTCGTGTTTTCCTTGAATTTTTTACTCAAATAATATTATTTTTTTAAAAAAAATACCCAAATAAAAATTGTGCAAATTTATTTCCCCAACTAGCATCATTTACTTTTCACTTTCAGAATGGGTCGTTCTGAAATCAGAACGGACCGTTCCAGATTAAAAAATAATACATGACTAATGGATCAGAACGGGCCGTTCCAAATTCAAAATTAGCACACAAAAAAAGTAGAACCAGAACGGGCCGTTCTGAATCCGGAACAGACCGTTCTGACCTACAAATTCAGACCATTTTTTTTTCGATTTTCACTTATCAAATACCAAAACTCAGAGACTACCATCAAGTGATTAAATTTATTGAATATTAACATTATAAGTATAACTAAATAAATTTATTAAAATTCATTACAACAATAAAAATCAATGGTGGCGAAAACTGAATTCATGACCAATATTTGGATATGTCTTCCTAGTGTGACCAGGGGTATGACAATAGGAACAATTTTTATACGATTATGTTGTTCTTTAATGTCCATCTCTGTTCTAATCTGCTGGACTTTGGCCGACCCTTGAAAGTTCTCTTGAGTTCTGGATTTGGCCACAAAGTTGGAAGAAACGCAACATTCGAGAGAAGTTTGACCTGCTGGGAGATTTACAATAAGACTAAATGAAATGTGGTATGATTGCGGCAAGTTCCAGAAAGTTCATATCCCTTGCTCGCATGACCCGCTGGGAGATTTATAGTAAGGCTAAATGAAATGTGATATGATTGCCACAAGTTCCAAAAAGTTCATATCCCTTGATCGCATGACCCGCTAGGAGATTTACAGTAAGGCTAAATGTAATGTGGTGTGATTGTGGCAAGTTCCAGAAAGTTCATATCCCTTGCTCGCATGGTCACACCCCTGGTCACACTAGGAAGACATATCCAAATATTGGTCATGAATTCAGTTTCTGCCACCATTGATCTTTATTGTTGTATTGAATTTTAATAAATTTATTTAGTTATATTTATAATGTTAATATTCAATAAATTTAATTATTTGATGTTAGTTTTTGAGTTTTGGTATTTGATAAGTGAAAATCGAACAAATTTTTTTTTATTTATACGCCAGAACGGCCCGTTCCGGATATAGAAAGGCCTGTTCCGGTTCCACTTTTTATGTGCTAATTTTGAATCTGGAATGGCCCGTTCTGATCCATTCGTCATGTGTTATTTTTTAATCAGAAACGGCCCGTTCTAGTTATAGAACGGACCGTTCTAAACTTGAACAGTAAATGATGCTAGTTAGGGAAATAAATTTGCACGATTATTATTTGGGTAAATTTTTTTTAAAATATTATTTGAGTAGAAAACTTGTTTTTCTTTAATGAATCTTTCTTAATTATTTTTTTAAAACATTACACTAACGGACATTATATTATAAGCTCACTTAATTAATTGAAATACATTACAAGGTAATCCCTCCCGCGCGAGTTACTGTAAAGTGTAAACATTATACAATAGCTCATTATGTCAGTATAATTTACTCTATTATTTCATTTGGTTCATGTTTTATATACTTCCTTTTTTTTTTTATAAGTAACTTCCTTTTAAAAAAATAATTAAAATTTTAAAATATTCTTAATTTTTTGTTTTAAATTTTTTAATTTTACATCCACAACATTTAATTTAGTACTTTTTTTTACATATCTTTCCTCTTTTTTTTAATTTTTACATGCACTCCCTTATTTTTCCTTCACCCTACCTATTTTGGTAGCATGTGAAAATTGAAAGAAAAAAAAAAAGTGTGTGAATAAGAAAAAGAAAGTAGCAAATTGAAAGTTGAAAGTGTAAAATTAAAATTTTTTAAAGAAATTATAATATTTTATAAAAAAAAAATTTAAAAGAAGAAGGTGTACTTATAAAAAAAAAAAAGAAAAAAAAAAGAGGTGTATATATCATGAGCCTTTCATTTTCCATGCTTCATGCTGAAAGCCCGAAATGCGTAACCATGGGCCGGGGAGAATTATTGGCAAGTATTGTCCAATAGGCCCAGTAAAAAAAATGATTAACGTGGGCTTAGATGAGACGGCGTCGTTTCTGTCTCAACCGCCAAAATCCCTACCATGGTCCTCCCTCGGCCTCAATTTCAATTCACCATAGCATAAAATGTTCGCGGTAGCGAGACTCGTCCGAGTCAGTGCCACCTCAAACTCAAAGCTTGGTCTTCACCGGAGATCTCTGAACCACCACCATGCACCGCCACTTCCTCCGGCGTTCTACCTCTCGCGCCTCTGCACAAACCTGGACACTCTCCGAAAGGTCCACGCATCCCTGGCGGTGCACGGCCTCGGCGGCGAGCTCCTCCTGGCGACGAAGCTCCTCAGCCTCTACGCGTCCTTCGGGAGGCTCCGCCACGCGCGCCTCCTCTTCGACCTCCTCCCCACGCGCGACCTCTACTCGCTGAAAGTGATGACACGCGCCTACTTCCTCCGCGACATGCACTCCCACGTCCTCTCCCTCTACTTCCTCACGCGCCCCTCCCTCCACCCCGCCCCTAACGACCCCGTCCTCTTCTCCGTCATCCTCAAATCCTGCGCCGAGTCCCGCCAGGCGCGCCACGTGCCAATCCTCCACTGCCACGTCATCAAGTCCACTCCCCCTGACAGCTTCCTCCTCACCTCCCTGGTCGACGCCTACGCCAAGTGCGGACTCCTCCCCCACGCGCGGCGCGCCTTCCACGAGATCCCCCACCGCGGCGTCGTTTCGTGGACCTCCATGATCGCCGCCTACGCCCAAAACGACTGCGCGCGCGAGAGCCTCACTCTCTTCAACAAAATGCAGGAAGCCTTCGTCGACGCCAACGAGTTCACCCTCGGGAGCTTGGCCTCCGCGTGCACCAAGTTGGCCTCCTTGCACCAAGGAAAGTGGCTTCACGGCTTCGTTCTCAAGAAAGGAATTGCGGTTAACTCCTTCCTAACGACGTCGCTTTTGAATATGTATGTCAAGTGCGGCACCGTTCGTGACGCACGTGCGGTGTTCGATGAGAGTGCTGACTCCGCTGATGTTGTTTCATGGACGGCCATGATTGTGGGGTATAGTCAGAGGGGTTACCCTCACTTGGCGCTGGAGTTGTTCACCGACCGCAAATGGGCCGGGCTTTGGCCCAACTCGGTTACCGTTGCGAGTTTGTTATCCGCTTGTGGGCAGTTAGGTAATTCCGTTACGGGAAGTTCGCTTCATGGGTTGGCTATTAAGTGTGACTTGGATGATCCTCCTGTGAGGAATGCTCTTGTTGACATGTACGCCAAATGCGGCGTCGTTTCGGATGCTCGGTACGTGTTTGAGACAACGTTTGACAAGGATGTTGTGTCGTGGAACTCCATTATTTCTGGCTCTGCGCAGAGTGGTGAACCTTATGAGGCCCTTGAGCTTTTCAAGAGGATGAGGTTGGAGTTTTTCTCTCTGGACGCGGTTACGCTGGTTGGCGTTCTATCCGCTTGTGCCTCCATTGGCGCTCTTGAGCTTGGTTGTTGTGTTCACGCCTTGTTGCTCAAGTATGGCATGGTGCTGTCTAGCGTCTATGTTGGCACTGCTCTATTGAATTTTTATGCCAAATGTGGGGAAGCCAAGTCCGCGAGGATGGTGTTTGATTCGATGGGGGAGAAGAATGCCGTGACGTGGAGCGCCATGATTGGTGGCTATGGGATGCAGGGTGATGGAGGTGGATCCCTCGCGCTGTTTAGGGACATGTTGAAGGAGGAGCTTGAGCCTAATGAGGTGGTGTTCACGACCATATTGGCAGCTTGCAGCCATTCGGGGATGGTTGGAGAGGGGTCAAGGTTGTTTAATTTGATGTGTGGGGAGATGAATTTTGTTCCTTCCATGAAGCACTACGCGTGTATGGTTGATCTGTTGGCGCGCGCCGGCAACCTCGATGAGGCGATGGACTTTATGGAGAGAATGCCTGTTCAGCCTAGTGTTAGTGTGTTTGGAGCTTTTCTCCATGGGTGTGGACTTCATTCTAGGTTTGAGTTGGGAGAAGTGGCCATTAGGAGGATGTTGGAGTTGCACCCTGATGAAGCTTGTTATTATGTGCTTGTGTCAAACCTTTATGCTTCGGATGGGAGATGGGGCATGGTTAAGCAGGTGAGAGAGATGATAAGGCAAAGGGGATTGAGCAAGGTCCCTGGTAGTAGTTTAGTGGAGATGGATATCAACAATGATGCTTTTGATCAAGTGGCAGTTCTTTCGTAATCGTATGTGTACATATTTTGTGCATGATTGTGTGGTGGTAAAACGAAACTACTTGGTCAAACAAGTGGTTCTGCAGATAAAATTTCATGGGCTCCCCTATGAACATGAATCTTGGGAGATTAGAGATAACCATTTGGGAGTAAGACACAAATGATTGGGACAATCAGTGAATATAGATCTATAAGTTAAACATTGTCTCGAGATGCCATGAAACTCTTCTGGTATCACCAGTACACCCACAAGACACAGTTGAACAGCTGCAGTATGAATCTTAGGTATGCAGCAGAGGCAAATATTTTGGATTGTGGATGATCTGCGGAGAAAATTTGATATTTCAAGAGAAAAAGATGGTGAGGATAATGAGGAGTCTTCCTCAGAAGAACGGATTACTTTGACTCAATGACATAGCCCTCCTCTTGTTCAACAACTGTTGTGATACAATCTAGTTTGTGCACTCACTGTCCTGGCATTTTCAATCCATTATAGCAAGAATTCCCCGGTCTGCAATCAAATATTCTGCCTTTTTCGCGATAAGCAGGTCAAATATCCATGGAATCAATGTTTGTTTACTGCCTTAATATAATTCAGAACACAGAAGACACTAAGCCTCTGCAATTTTTTCGTCAGTGTTGGGTTGCATGCTTGAATAGTTGAATGAATTGGACCTCCATCAAATTCGACTTTTAGCACTTGACATAGTATTAGATCTGTTCCTGGATCACAGTTCTTCACTATCAATACTGTCGATGCCAAAATTATTCTGACTAAGTGTCAAAATACAGCCTTTGTTATGTCAAAATAATTTTTACTCCTTGTTGAAATACAGTCTTTGTTGACCAAATTATTTCAACCAAGTGTTAAAATATATTTCAGATTGACAGGATTATGATCAAAATTCAAAGCAATGATTTAAAGATGAAAGAATCATAAACATATTATAAGTTATTTTAATAACAACGATGAAGTTAAAAAAATTATCAACGATGATGACTGTTGGGAGTTACTAGGAATGGGCAAGTTACCAGTAGCTAGTAGGGATGGCAAACAATCCAATAACTGGACCCTGTATTAGACTTCACCCAAGTAGTAAGGCAAAGTTCAATACAGAATTTCTTGTACATTAAATTGTCAAATTTGTTCATGATAAATGGAATTGGGGTTGAAGCTGATTGATATTGTGCATTGGAAAGTTGAAATCAACTGTGTTTTCATCTAAAGTTGCATTGGTATCAATTTATGATTTTAGAGTTCTGGACAAAATGTGTACGTGCACGTTTGGGTTGCTGTGGAAATCATTCTGATGCAGTTTTAACGTGAAGTGAGGATATTTATCCTTCTGTCAAAGTAAGTTCATGGCCTAGAAACGGTATCACAAACATTCTATGTGATTAGGAATAGAATCACAGATCAACCGCAACTAATAACCTGTTGAGTCAGAATTTGAAGACTAGAAATTCCCTAGTCCTGGTTAAGAGAAATTATACTTGTTTTAATGGAAATGTGCTGTAGTAACAGAAGAAACATAGATAACTGGTATTGAAAAACTACCAGAATAACAGTAAAGACTTGTATACAAATAGCTGGAACTAATACAGTATAAAGAATATTATAGTGATAGTGTCGTATCTTCAGCTGTTTCTGGTGAAATAAGGATGAATGAAAAAAGAAAATGTTTTGAACACTTCTAATCCTCCCTCATATAATAAGAGGGAATTATTTTTGTTCCAAATGTATATTATTTTTGCTGATTGAAAGTTGACATGTTGTGCCAAACAGGTCAGATTTCTTTTAATCTCTATGATAGGAATCATACGGAATTTCCAAAAGACCTCGACACCAAGTATTTTAAAGCATTGCTATTGCAGTTTAGTATTTAAATAGTGGCAACTACAATCCTGGCATTTTTTATTGTAGTGCCTAACATTATGTGAATAAATGTAATGGATCAACTTGATGTTCTTTAAATTATGTGTTCTTATTGGTTAACAGTCCAAATATTGCTCTAGTGGACTGGATGGTTGTTTGTTCTGATCAGTTTTTGCTAAATTTTGCCGATTGAGATGATTATTTGTGCTCTAATCTGTTGTATACTGCCTAATGCATATTCTCTTTTCTTTTTATTTGTTGACTTGGGAATTTCATTCTTTTATCTAAAAGACAACGAATTTGTTTCCACTGTTGTCACGTTTTTACTGAATTTGATTTGTTATTTTTTTTTCTAATTTAAATTTTTCTTTCTCTCTTGTGGACTAACCAGTTAAGATTGATATCTTTTGTGCTATTTTTAATTTTTTTTCTTCAGTTTGTAATCCATTCTCTTGGCCAATCACCAATAATTATATAAATTTTTTTTAACGAGTTACCCAATTATTAAAGAATAGAAGAATCATCAGAGGAAGTCATTCTCTTGCCCGAATCGAAACCTAGAATCCTACTTTCGATGAAAACTGCAAAAATTTTATGCCATCATATGCTAAAGCGTAAGCTGTATTAAGGTCATGTGTGGACAAATTCTTTCACAAGTTTTTATAGAAGAAAAATTTAAATAAATATTTCTTATAAGTTAATCTTAAGCACAAGTTAAATTCCCTAAATTTTTAAAATAAAACTATATTTCAGAGGAAGTATTTTCCCCGAGTTCAGCGCAACCATACTTTATGTTATCATGAGAATGGCTTGGCCCCGAGAGAGAATCGGGTTATTCCTTTTGGAAGGTCCCCACCAAGGCATGGTATCTCACCTACGTTTGAGAGATTGTTTCCATGCAAAAGTACTGTGGGATATTTACTTCGGATGCACGGTAGACACCACTTTTATTCATTGTCCAACAATAAATGGGTTTTACTTAATTTAGACATTTAACTTCTGACTTGCTATGGAAATGAAGAAAATACAAACTTCTCTGCTTCTTGGACCTCGTAGGTTTTAAGTTTCTTGGATAAATGTTCATGAAAATTTTTATTCAAATAGTATTTCAATAGTTTTTCAAACCAATCATAGTATTGTTCAATTTTTGAAAGCATTCACCGAAAGGTAACAAGCATCTTATTAAATCAAGAAATGACTCGTGTCGACCAAGCACAAGATTTAGGGTGAAATTTTAATTGCGTAGTAGAACATAATTCCTAACTTCCTCCTCTTGGTATTGAGATTCTTGTCCAATGGATAATTAATGTTATCCCTGTAACGTAGACAATTCAAAGATTATTGTCATTTCCTCAACATCCGCATCTAAAATTTTCCATATGGCTTCATACGATGAACAGACGATTAGGTTGAACAGTCCTAACATTCTAAAATCAGCGCCTAGAAATCATGATCAACTATAGACTATTGCACGAGTTTTGCACCACACTGAACAGTAGCAAAATCAATGATGCAATGAGAGGAACGACAACCATCAAAGTCTAATTTTATTCAATAACCCTCAAATACAAACATTTAAAGAAATTCAACCATTAGCTTCCACAATCAATTACATATACATACTTACAGTTACATAGGAACTTAGCACTGCTTCCAAAAATCCAAAAGAATAAAAAATGCTTCCATACACATTTCAAACTCATACAACCCCACTTCCTGCTAACAGCGACAATAAAGGCAAGGAAAATAATGAAGAAACTGCAGCGAATGATCCACCTTTATCAACTAATGCTACATGAATGTCATGGTCTGTTATACACATACTTTGTTCTGGGATCCACAATGAGACCTGTCCCTCCATTCACTTCCAAGTCATGCCTATATAAATAAAAGTATATAAAAAAATCAGTGCCCTGTCTATGATCTAAACTACATTTACTATAAGGAAATAGATACAGCAAGAAAAAGAATTTGCAGCACAATTAAGAGGAAAGAATTCCAGTGAGGATACCCTATAAGCATAGAACTGCTTTAATGCCAATACTTTCAGAAGCCACATATTGGAAATGAAACATTTACAAAATAACATCATGAAAAGGAAAAAAAAGTATTGATGGCACCACATTGAAACATAAACACTCAACTGAAACACAAAATCTGGGATGGTCAACTGTTCACGAGGTACGTATCTGAAGAGCTGCAGAAGTCGTTCAACATATACCACTTTCTTCCAGACCTGAAAATTAGCTTTTAATAACACACACACACATATATATATATATGCACACATATGAGGTCATTAAATATGCTTGGATTTCACTACTGTACCACACTGTCCACAAACAACTGAAGTGCAAATACTGCTGCTTTTAGTCCAAAAGTTGGGTGAAGGACATATATTGCCTACACGGGTCAGATTGAAAAATCAGAAGACTGGTAGAAAGTATGATGCATTAGAGCAACAGAAATAGTTCTTGATTGTACAAACAATAGAGGTAAGAAAATAAACAGTGCATACATGAAGGTTGCGCTGGTGCTTCCAACCTAGTATCTGTTGCAATCTTCTCATCCAACCCAGGTCTGGCTGCCTAATTATATCAAACCATGATGGAAAAAGTAAAATTTAACTTTGTCAACACAGCCAAAATCATGGGCATTACGCAGAAATCAGGATCAATCAATGATTGTAGACTATACACAATTTCACAAAGCAACTTGCTTATGTAAAATATTCTTAACCCACCTTCAAAATCTACTATTATTCATTCAAGTGTGCTTCACTCCAGTGGAACAACTTCAATTCATTTTAACAATTTATCCAACAAAGGGTCACCTTGTCTCTTAAGTGTTGCTTCATAAAATCCTACCACTCATACAGGAATATTTGCCCTCAGCAAACAACGCCCTCAACATAGAATCAAACCAAAGGGCTGCCTAAATTTAACATTGGGTTATCTATCAAGTTTTAGTCACATAAACAGGTAGAAAATTAATGCAGAATCAGTCTCAAGTACAAACTAGAAATGGTTAAGTGGCTTCATGACGCCATCCCTCACATGGACAAAGCCAATGGCCAAGTAGATGTTTCCGGCAACCATGCACTACCAATAAAATGTTAGAAGTTTGAAGACCAAAATACTATTTCAAAAGTATACAACAAAAATGTTTAATCATATTTTGGCAACGGAAATATTACCATTAATTTGACAAAGTAATCCCATAATTCACACAAAATAACTAGCTGGGAATGGAAGTTTAACAATTAGCTCATTCCCCTTGAACGTTCCTAAAATATTTTTCAAAGATTAGCATATTGCAAACCTCTATTTTCATAAAAAAAATAATAGACCAATGATACATCCTAGAATTCAGACATTTAAAACTTACATTTGCAAAGATGCAGCAGAGTGGAAGTAGACAATTGTAAAAGGCTTCTGTATTAAAGGCTCAAACTCCTGAAATTTAACATCAAGAAAACAAAAATCAGTTTTGACATTTAAATAGGAGTATGCACTGCCAACATCCAGAGGCTAAAAATTTATAATAACAAAACTAATGCTTGACAATAGAAAAGACGTCCAGCTGAAGGGTGTAACTGAATTACCTTCACAACATGGAGCACAAAGCGCTCCAAATCAAGACACCTGAGCAAGAAGTGGGCCCCCACAACAACCATGACAGGATGACCCTCACTGTCGACCCCTCCACGATAGCTGAAAAACACATACACCTCAGACATTAAATGCAAAGATCAATATTAACCCTCAAAAGATCAATCAGAACACATACACAAGGCATGTTGTAAATATCATTTAGCAAATTGAAGTGGAGTGTTGTAAATATCAAAGATATTTTCAGGAGGTAAAAAAATGTGATAGTATCATGTGATATTTGTTTTCCTATTACTATTATTTCCTTACTTCCTTTTTTTGGCATAACCTTTACCCTATAAAAAGGGACATTAGTGAATGTACAAAACACAATTACTATATGGTTTTTTCTCCTCCAACTTTCTCTTTCAACTAAAACTGATTATGCATGCAAAACAAATGGTGAAATAGATGCTTACACAATTTTCATTTCTGCAATATCAGCAAGATTTAAAGCATTTGCTTTAGACAGGTATCTAGAGTGGAGAGAATATTCTTCCGAGGCGGATAATGTGGGTCCACCAAGGTCGCCATATCCAAGCATTTTAGCACAATTCCAGCCTCTTTGTGCTTCGGCAGTTTTCTCCCATTGCTCCAAACGCCTTTGATCCGGGTCTTTAATCAAGGACATGAAGGCAGGATCCAGAAATGAATCTAAATATGATGAATGTCTACACAAGCAACATGGATCAGGAAAAACCTCGCAGAAATTAGATTAAAAGATGAATTCTGTTCTGTTCAATTAAATAGAATTAAAAAAAAAAAAAAAAAGCAAATACAGTTATGTGCAATCAAATGAATTAAGATCTGTCAGGCAGAGATATCTGAAATATGGTGAAATGCAGAAGGATTGAACAGTTGTCCCAGAAAATTTTAATTATATTATCTGTTCCAATAAATAAATATTTGTATATGCTCAGATTATTGAGCTCATTCTAAATTTTAAATTCATAATCGAACAGATGGAGAAATCTAAAAGGAAATCAAAATATTAAAAATATGTTAAAAATATCAAAATATTATTGACCTGCTAACCAAGCCAACATCACTAACAGGAAGATCAACTGAAACTTCAGGAGGTCTTGCAACACTCTTTTTGGGCAAAGTCTTTATTCTGATTTTACGCTCATCTATGATGGTCTCACCATTCTCATCCCCAACATCTGCGGGAAGTTTTGCCAAGGCAACCTGCTCCTCATGTTTATCTCGAGGAAAGTAAAGTGGAAGCAACCTTCATGAATAATACCAAAGGTAAAAAAATATAAATAATTAATTCAAAGTCAAAGGTTACACTGAAAAGAAAATCAACCAACCTTTTATAACAATTGGAAGTTCAAGTTACTCAAAAAATTGCAGGTAGCAACACCGAAACAAGGACAAATGCTTAAAATACCTTTTATATATCTCAGTATCAGTTGTGGTCACAGTGCAAAAGACAACAGCTGTTGTGTTGTTTTTTTGCTTCTCAAGAAATCGCCGCACAGTTCCTGAATAAAAGACATAATAAAAGATGGTTTAGCCTAAGATCGGTATATCACCTTTCAAGCATCTGTAAAAAATTGTTAACTTGATGCAGAGATACTCTATATACTAGATACACCCGGCAGGGATATGATAAAATAACTAGAGATCATTCAAAAATTAAAAGATGCACCCAACAACAGTCTACTTTCCTAGTCAGGCTGAACCTGTCATTCCCTTGATCATTCATCTATGCACCAATGAAATGATAATATAGAAGATCAAATTATGTAAACAGCAAGAATTGATAGACAACTTTAAGAGAGAGCATGCTTTGTCATTCTATCTCCTCACTTCCCCTTCCCCCAAATTTTAATTTGCCTTGATATTAACTAAGCAACTCATTTTTCTGGATTTTGACAGTAGTGGTAATTGAGACTTGAGAGGGAGAAAAATGAGAGGACATGTTAAGAATCCAGGTCTTGACTACACAATGAAAGCTATCATTTATAATTAGTCATAAATACATTGGATAATAGTAAAATAATCATACAGCTCATAATATTCTTAATTACAAAATTTCCCCACACAATATATTACATAATTACAAGACTCCTAAAACTCCCCCTTAATCTAGAGCATATAAATCATAGGCACCAAGCTTGTTACGTATATAACTAATTTGAGGACATGTCTATGATTAAGTAAGAACATCTACTAGTTGGTCATTTGAATTGACTGAGCAGGTAATGATGTCTCTGGATAAGATCTCCCAATGGAAATCTATCTGAATGCATTTGGTCCTCTCATAAAACACTAGAATTCAGACAATATGCAAAGCTAACTAATTATCACAAATGAGCGTCATTTGTGTAACCTCAAATCACTGTTCTTTGACTGGCTGTTTAAGCCACATAATTTTACAAGTGGCTGAAGTCAGGGCTCTATTTTGATTCCACCTTCAATCATGCAACAACACTGCTTCTAGCTTTTCCAGGAAATTAAGTCACTGCCAAAAAAATTAATAGCCAAAAGTGGATCTCCTGTCAGTAAGAGAACCGCCTACCATAAGAGTATTCCACAATTTGAGTATAAACCCTGTCTTCATACAAGAGTCCTACTTTAATATACTTCAGAAAGTGAATCACTGTATGATACTGTACTTCACAGGGAGAACTAAGAAGCATGCTTAACACATTGACTATGAAAGAGATATTTAGGCAAGTGACAATGAGATAGTTCAGTTTGCTAATGAGTCTTTTGTACCATTCTTGATCTAAAAGAGGCTCCTCCTAACTTGGCAGAAGTTTGGCAATAGGATTCTTAGGAGTGTCCACAAGTTTGGCATCCATCAATCCCATTTCCTGATATCCAAAACATACTTCCTCTGAGAAATCACAATATCATTCTTGGATTGTTACACCTTTATTCCCAAGAAGTATCTGTATTGATGACTCCCAAGATCTTTCATCTAAAAATGGTGACAAAAATGTTGCTTTATGCATGTAATGCCATGGTGATCAAACTAGTAACAACAATGTTGTCAACGTAAACAAATGATGCTACAAAATTGAGCATCAATCTTATTTCAATCGGCACAATCAACCTCAACAACAAAATCAGTCTTGGTGGTGAGGTGGTCAAAGTAATTTTGTCCCATGGCTAAAGCTTGATATTGGAAGCCCAAGTATCATAGTTCCATCAAACTTGTCAATAGACAATGGAGCACTAACATAGTTGGTAAAATTAAAAAATTAGAAGGCTTAGGCTTAGGAGTGCCACCAGAGTTAGATCCAACCATGGGTGAGAGTGGGTAGCAAAAAAAGATGTGAAACAGGATGAAAGAACACAAATCAAGGGCACCCAACCAAACTGTGGCCCAAACAGATCAATTGTCTGCAGAATCTGAAAGGGTGGAGAAAGAAGATCTCAGCACTGCAAAGGCAGTGAGAATGGCAGCCTAAGGCACTACCAGCATGCCAGGAAGCACTGGTGCATGAAAAAACTGCAACTAGAGAAGGTGATGCACGTGAAAGCACACAAAGCCTTCAATCAAGGTGGGTTTGCTGCAGATTGTCTAATCTCATGGAGACAAATCCAATGGTGCAATCAATGGCAGAAACAGTGACAGTAGCGACAGTGAAAGGAGAAAACTTGATAGAAGGTCGAAAACCAAAGGTGGGGCAAGGTTTCTGTAAAAATTTGCACAGATGAATAGTGGCCCCACCAAGAAATCTCAAAGTAGGTTTCCTTTTTCATCAGGCTCTAAGACCATGTTGAAAGGGAGAAAAATTAGATGACAACTGAACAAATCTATGAGTCTTGACTACACAGTGGAGACTCTTGTTAATAATTAGAATCATAAATACAATGGATAATGGTTACATAATTATATATCTCATAATATCACTAATTACAACAATTTCCTATTAACACATTATATAAGTGCTTCTATTTTATGTATGGATGAAGCAGCAATGAACAAGTAATAATAATCCCCAAAAGTAGGTAATTTCCCAACTTCCCATGAGGTTGGCTAAGTTAACCTAAATAATGTATCAGGTCAAAAGATTACAAGCAATAAATTGAAAAGGTAAAATCATGCAAACAAAAAATCTCACTTATAGCTACATGTGCAGCTGGTTCTCGAGGATAGTTCTTTGCCTCCGTATAAATACAACCCATAGCAATGCTACAAAAATATTTGCCAAAAAAGAGTAAGTCAGAATTTTAAATAACATGACATTCATGAAAACAATAAATGGTGCAAGAAAATAAACAATATAACATTTTGGGGAGAGGGGGACCTTTGAAGCCCATTTTCGACTAGAAGCTCCAGGCAAGAACGATAGCAATGACTTAAAGCATTCTCTGCAGCAGTATGGTACTTTACAGCATACTTTGGGCCAACAGTATGGATAATTCTCCTGCAGGCAATTTAAAAAAGAATAAAACAAGGTATGCAAATTGTGGACAATGGATTGGTAACTGCTAAGTAACAAATAGGCCAGTAACAAAGTAGAATGCATTCACATGATTTCTGCAGCATGACATATGATTAACAGAAATCAAATTTAAAAAAAATAAAAAAGATCTCAGATCTAAACCACAAGAAAAGAAAAGGCTATGATGTTCAATATTTAAAAATTTAAAAAGATTATACAAATCGAAGCTCAACAACCACCATTTAAAAGAGACAAAGAAAGTGTGTAAATGCTCCTTCGAAGCAAAGCAACAGCACTTGCTTAAAAGATATTCTCCAAGTGCATTCTCCTAATAGGAGAGAAACAGGTAAACTGTCTTTGCATAGTTGAATTGACCTTTTAATAAAAACAGAGACCATTGTTTCTTCACCTTGAACAAGCAAAACATTGGGTTGGAAGGGGGATACAAACCTGGCAGGAAGGTCATGCGCATTAGTAACTTTAGCCATCCCTGTTCGACATCCACCCTGTCAACAATACAGATGTGTTAGTCAATATTCCCAAGCATAATTTTCCAGAAAGCTGCTTCAAATATGGTACTTATGTTATATATGAGAATCTATCTGGAGCTGCTTCTTAAGTTTAGAAAATATTAAACCACAAGAAATAAGAAGAAAAAAACTAGGAATATAATAATTAATAAATATGGAACTCATGTCCCAAGCTCACATTCATTAGCATTCAATGTAGAGCACATAATATATTTTTGCTAAATAATTACTATACCAGAGTTGCACATTCTTCTGCAAGACCAGGTCCAGCTGCAGCATGCAATCCAGGGCTGCTGTGTGCTTCATCCATATTCTGTTCACGACAAGAAATGAAAATCAAGTACCAAATAAGATATCATTAGCCCCATTTCATTGACTAGAGTTCAGTTCTAACATGCTTAATAGTATCATTATATTATGAATAATGATATATTCTCCTAAAACATCCTCCTAATAATCATCCTATTTCTGACACGAAATAAAGAAAACATTGAATGAAAAGTAGATGAATTTAATGCCTTGAGAAGACAAAATGCAATCAACACTTTTTTGTTCTAGCAATTAGGAGGATTATTAGGAAGATTGACTAAGAGGGATACAGAATTATTCGCTTATTATGTTTTGTAGTTACATTCCAAGATGCAGGATAAAATATTCAAACTACAAGAATATGGACAGGACTCTTGACAAGTGTCAATGAAAGTTAGAATATATATATATATATATATATATATATGATTCCTAGTCACAAAGAGCCACAGGATAGCAAGAAGTGAACTGAGAAAAAAAAAATGGTCAGTTGTCAAAGTTATTTAAGAATGAAACCGTGCTTTTGTTGTTTAATATTTGAATAGATATGCAAACAATATCACAAGGGTTCAATTTGATTTTATCAGCAATAATATAATCATTCTAACCTACAATGTTCTTGATTTTAAAAACTGAAAAATAAATTGCCATTTCAGCGCAGACTTTTAAATTACACATAATAAAACAAAGAGTAAGTGCCTGAGTGCCTCTCAAAAACTATACAACATCAGTCAAAGTCTTCTCTTCCCACAACATTGGATCGGCTACATAAACAAAATGATGCCACTGTGTTCTATCATGAATTAAATCCTCAACATGTCCATTTAGATGTAAGTCCTTTCTTGATCGTTTTACCTAGACTTTTACTTCTCACATAGTCAAACCACCTTGGTGAGATTCTACCATTTTTAATCCAATTGTGCTGCCTTTACTTTCTCTCTACTGCTTCAAGCCTAATTTTATATTGTCTTTTGTATCTATTCTCATTTCTCACCAAAATATCTTCATCTATGCAAAACTGAGCCTATGCTCTTGTTGACTCTTTATTGCGCACCATTAAGTATTTATACAACATCATGGACATTATGGTCGTGTGGTAATAAAGGTCAATAACATCAATGTTTGGGAGGTAACTTTCAGACGGTAAGCAAACTTTATAATTTTATCATAAAATTCTTACATTCCATTGTCTTCAAGATCATAAAATGAGCATGGGTTCTATCATGAGGTTCCAGAAATCATAGTGGCAAGGTAGAAAACAATACGACAGTAACAACCTACAGAAGTTACATTAACGAAGGAAACCATAAACAATAATACAATACTAATCAAAAAGCCAGATAGTGCTCACCTCATTTGTTGAATTTACCACCGCATCCACCTCAAGATTCCAGGGATTCCCCCTCCACAAATATATCTTTGAATTGACTTCATGGTCAACTGGAAACCTTGACACCGACTCAGTGCCATCACCATAGTCTGCTCCCGAGGGCGTTGCCAAAGGATCAGGAAAGTGTGAAGTAGAAAATGAGGTTTCAAAGCCAAAAGACTGATCAGCATCATTCCATCGTGGAACTTGATCTAATGCCACAACAGAGTCCCCATTGTCAGTAGGCAATCCACCCCTCGATGTTGTAGAGGTAGCCACAGGCACATACATTTCAGGGACTCCTATCTTTCAGCACCAATCCCTCAATTAAGCTACCACAATCACTGTGCTACAAAAACCAATAATCTAACATTCAAAATTCAGCTGACATGAACGAGCTCTAACCTGATATAAACTACAACTACTAATACTAATAACCAGAAATATGATCCAATAGATTCTATTAGCCATGCAATCACCAACCAGAACCTTCCTTTCAAACATAAAACCAGAAACAAGATTGCAGGCCAAATTTTAAAGACTACGCAAATCTTGAATCATCCTTTTTCAGAGTACAGAAATTAAAAAGTACCAACGAGAAGGAGAATTAATCAGAATCAGAACCCTAATTTGAGATTTTAGGAGAGAGAAGAAAGAAAAACCTGAAATTGATGGAGCAGTTTGGGCTGAAAACTTGGTATTTGTGGGAGGGAATCAAAGGAGAAAGCGAAAGGATTGAGATTGGTGGGTTGGTCGCTGTAACAATGAGCTTGCGAAAACGCAAAAGCTCATGTGTTTTACGACAAACAAAAAAAATTAAAATTGATTGATTTGTCTTTTTCTGACACATTACGGCTCAGTGTAATTCAGATCCGTTCAAGTGAATATCAAGAAAATTCCAAGCGTGTGGTACAGCGATAGGGATTGATTCACGCTTAAGTAAGGTCAGGAATTCGAATCCAACCTTGTGTATGTAGTCGCTTTAAATTTTGGGGTCAACTATCCCACTTTTTGAGGTGCAAGGAGATTAGTCACTACTATCAGCGGTAGATACTTCATGGACGAAAAAAAAAAGTGAATATCAAGAAAGTACCTTTTTTGTTTTGATTTTTAACTAAATTACTTAACATTTTAAAAAGTATATAAAATCATTTTTGGTAAATGTATTCATTATTAATTACAATGAAAAAATACTAATTTAAATTTTTCTATTATGAAAATTTTGAAGATGTCAAATTTTATTTTCTTTTTTCATAAATTAGTATTTTTAGATATTTTTAAAAAAAATTATTAATTAATATTTTTAGAAATATTTTATTGTTTTGAAATATTTTCTTTTTTATTAAATATGGGAAAAAATTCTAGGTATGTTATTTTTTTCCAATAATATTCAAATATTGTTTGAACCAAATGTCACTTAACAATGAATATAATAAATATTTCGTCAATTCTATATGTTGAATATCAATAACTATTTTTCATGAGAATTTGTCAGATATTTTTTTAATAATGAGACGATTTTTAGGAGTTCTTTTAATTTTGTATATATTTTGATTTTATTTATCATATTTATTTATAAATTAAATTCTAATATTTTAAAATAAATTATCAATAGTTAAAAATAATAATTATTTATCATAAATTTAAAATATAATTTATATATTTAAGATACTTATAACAATTTGACAAGTCACTGCTGATTAACTACTATATAGCGAAAGCATAAACAACATGCATCAAAAAGTGAGTTTATAATACAATTAGTACTAGTATCAAGTACATACATGTTATATACAAAATATTGTACTAAGATTAAAATAAAATTGTCGGTCGGTATCTATACAAAACATGATTATACCAGAGTAGCCACAAACAAAATCTAGCCACCTCTAATGTGACTAACCGCCAATAGTACAAGTCATCTTGCTAATCTTGTCCTACTTTCATATTAAGTATAATCATTATAGTTACAATCACAAGAAAAATACAGGATAAACTTGTGAAAAGAATTCAACATAATAACTTATAAACAACATCATCATAGTAATATAACAACTCACAACAAGACAACACCAATAACATAACAGGTTAACTACTCATAACACACTCAGCATATCAACATATATATCAACATATATATATACATACATATATATCACATATGATGTGTCATCACTCATATCAACTACGAAGATCTCCTACAACATAGGGTGAGAAATTTAAATAACTTGACCCTACCAAATCATAGTGATTGGTATAATACCAAAAAACAGCGACTGACATTAAGACTAGAAAACGACAACTAGCATGAGACTAGAAATAATGACAAGCATAAAGTTAGATTGATTTCTCAAGTTTCACCACTTAAACTAGGATGTATGGTATTATGTCAAGGTAGAATAGTTTAGATATGAGCCTACACAACATTAGCTTGCAACACTAAGTCACACATAGATTAGCCCACTGACTACCCTCCAATACTATGTTTGAGACTAAGTCTCTAACTCGATACTTTACTCAGTATGGTCACACACGGATATCACATAAAATCTAGAGAAGACAACTAAAAAACAACTTATCCATTTAGAGGCAAACTTACCTATTGAAAGGTTTCAACTGGGCTCTCGGAACACTGCAATGTGTATCCACACAATAGGATATTCAATTTTCGAAAACAACATTACTCCCCTCTAATTTTTACGTATCGTAGCTAATATCTAACCCACATATTTGTAACTTATTAACTTAACAACATTATCAACATTCAACATACAACTTATCAACTTGAACAACTTTAACATCGTACATTTCTACAACATGATCAATTATGATAAATCAACAACTTAATCAACTTAAAATAATATACAATTTTATGACATATTCAACTTACTAACTATAAACCCATATCATCTTACATCATCATCCATATAAATTATTCATCATACATCAACTATAGAACAACTTCAACAATAGGTTTGTCATCATACAACTTGCACCCGGCGCCATTCACTAGTCCACGCCCGACATCGTACCACTCACGCCCAACGTGATTAAGGTAGAGAGTTTCCCACACTCTTACGCCTAATGTGACAACACACATGCCCAATCCCAATTAGGTAGAGAGCACCCTACCTGACTCACATTTAGTGCCACACACATTAGTGCCCAGTATGAAGCCAGGCAAAGACAATTATCTCTACTCACCCCTAGCATCATTCAACACATGCCCGATGTGATTCTAACCCAAGACGAGTCTCTTTCTTCATGCTTGACATCACCGATCCTATGCTCGATGTGAGTAAAATAGAGGCTTCTCTTTGGAGTCATGCCCACACCATGAAGGCGTGCCTAGTGCAATATTAGGTTTGCACTTGTACAAAACCTAATTTCGTGCAACCTCCTAAAAATCAGCAAATCTTAACAACATGCAATGCAATAAACTACATATATACAACATTTACAACACAATTTTATCATCAAAAGCAACATGCAACTAAAATCAATCAAGAATCAACTCATTTCCCATACTCTAGTTTAAGTCTACAAAACCCTCTCAACCTCATCATTTTTAAACCACCAATTCTTCCCAACAACCAAGAATCAATGCAGCTCGGCATCACAAAAGACACAAGAATTCAAAATCACAACTTCCCTTACCTCTTAGAGAAAAACCCACAAAGAGGTGAACAAGAAGAAGCAACTCCTCACACTATTAGCTTGAATTTTTTACTCTAGAGTTTAGATTCTTCACCACCTATACTAGAATCAACTAAGAAAATGGTAGAAATGAAAGGTTTTAAGTGATAAGGAAGAAGGAGGGGAAAATCTTTCTCTAGCTTCTTTTTACAACTTTTAAAAAGAATTATGAAGCTCTCAACTAAAAAATTTCCTTTTATACTTTCTTGAGCCGACTCCTCTTATCTCTAGTTCAACCCTCCAAAGATCAACTTGCTTTCAGGATATCCCATTCCCAAAACTCTCAACAACATCTACCAAATCAAACAACAAGATTATGAAATATAGTGTTAAAATATTTATTTATATAAATTTAAATATATTTATATATTTAAACATAACATTTATTTATATATATAATTTTATTATAAATTTTTGTTACATATAATAAATATTTTTTTTTTGGTAAGCAAGGGGGCTAAAAGCCCAAGACACTAATCATTAACTTGAAAAAATAGCAGAGGTGTCTGCAAGTAATAAGGAAGCAATAAAGGATGGAGGGGACTCAAAAATGAGAATTTCCTCCAATAAAGGCGCACTACATTTAGATAATGAATCCACGACTAAGTTGGCCTCTCTACCAATATAAGAACATGAAAAACTAGGAAGCTGAGTTGACAAATCTCTTATTTTCTGAACCCCGTGACTGCAAAGATGGGTCCTTGAGCAACCTTCATTGAGTAGTTTCACTGCTTCGTACGAATCAGATTCAACCAAAGTATCTAGACCCATATTCCTATTCAATAAAATATGAGTACCATACAATATCGATCTAAGTTCAGCTTCAATAATAGAGCAACGCCCCAATCGACCAGAGAAAGCAACAACAAAGTCACCACTAGAGTTTCTGACCACTCCACCACAAAAGGCCTCACCATCTCGTGTCACTACCCCGTCACAGTTCATCTTCAGGGTTCCAGTCAGAGGGCAAGTCCAACGAGGGTTCTGATACAAGCCTCCAACGTCTAGACTTTGGGTAAGGGTACCAGTTGATAAGGCGTGATGACTAAACCTTGAAAAATTGCTCTATTGCGCCGATGCCACAAGGAGTCTATAACCAAACCTCTAGATTTTCCCTAGGCACCTGCATCGTGGTTGCTCCTCTATAGCTTTTGTTCCACACCTCTTGAGCAAAAAGACAATCTCTTAGTACATGCAGAGAAGTTTCCATGCCTTGTTTGCATGTATAACATGTTGAGTCATAAGTCATTCCAAGTTTTGCTCTACAAGCGTTTGTGAGTAGGCTCTCATGAGCTACTCTCCAAAGGAATACTCGAACTCTCTCAGGCCCCTACCACTTCCATAATTGTCTGAAAAGCGAAGACTTGGCCGGTAACACTTATTGAGCAGCCACTTCATAGGCTGATTTGATTGTAAATGTGCCATCTGTGGTCGAAGTCCAAGTAACTTTGTCACTACCGGCATCTTCAGTAGGAGGAGGTGTGCATTAGATTGCTACCAATAAGTCCATTGGGATCCATTCCTGAATATTGGATAGATCCCACGTTCCCTGCATGTTATTATAATCTCGCACAGATTTAAAAAGCTCAACAGGAGGTATGGGCGTTAAGGCTAGTTGAATTAGAGGAAGGGAATTTGGAATCCACTTATCCAACCAGAATTTAATCGTGCGACCATTACCAAGTAGCCAACAAACATTAGAAATGACTAGATTCCATGCATTATTAATACCATGCCAAAGGTTAGACATATTTGGTTTCTTCGCAACGGAATAGTTTCATTTGAGCATTTGTATTTAGCTTTGACAACCCTTACCCAGAGTTTATGGGGTTCAGTAATCATGCTCCAGAAATTCTTCATCATGAACGAGGTGTTGACATCGCGCATGCGTCTCAAACCAAGTCCACCATAGTCCTTTGGATAGTAGAGAGTCTACCAACCCACAACATGATACTTCCTTTGATTTTGATTAGAACCCCAAAGAAAATTACGGCAAGTGTTAGGAACAATGGCAATAAAGGAGAGAAGAGAGAAATTTTTTTTGTATTCAAGTGCACAAATAGAGGATGAACTCATAGTAAACAAAGTTTATGTAGTTTTAGTGTTTAACTAATATGATGTTGC